GGATGTTATAGTGAGTCACCGTCAGATACTAAGCGGCCATAAATCATTATATGTATGTATAGAAATACATATATACATTTTTTGATTTTAATATTTATGTTTTTTGAATTTTGATTGATATTTTGAAACCTGGTAAAATTACTTTTTTCCATACTAATTGATGGGCCTGAGTATAATGCCAGTTATGCTCTTTGGCTGAAGTTATTTTTTATTTTATGCTCAATTGCAGACAAAACAATATTGATTGCGCATTTCTAAAACAAAATTTTACCTCTTCTCCTTCTAATAATAGCTCCTGCACCTAACACGGCGGAATAGTTATTATTATCTATAAGACCATTTGGGAAAACAGTTTTTGTTAACAGTCATGAGTGTAACATTTTATCAGCTGTTTTGTTTATAGTGCCTTGAGCAACACTTTGCCGGTTTCTGTACAGAAAATGATGCTGGTTTTCAAATACGGATGGCCGCTATCATTGAATATAATTCCCGCTATGTTACACTTATTTACATAGAAACTTTAATTATCATTTGTTTAAAATTCTAAATAGCACTTTTTACACAAGAAAGTAAACTTTTAGATCAGTCCATTTTGTTTTTCACTAATTAAGTAAAAAGTAAAACAAACCAACAGGGCCGGGAATTAAAATTTCTTGCAACTTTTTATAGAAAAGCATGACCTTATCATAATATAAAAGTCAATCATTTAGCCATGTGATAAAACTTTTAAGTGTGCCAGTCAAACATTAATGATGATATTCGGGTCATTATACTGGAAATAGTCTTTTAAATATTTTGTAGTACAATTGATAATCTTCAGTATGATTGACCGTGTATATAACTTTTATAAGTCTATGTTATTTTTGATGAAAATTATTAATGCAGATAAAAGCCCTTTCACATTTATTTTAGTCTCGATTTAAATTAATCAAAATGAAAATAATAACATTGGCTCTTTATAACTGATCTTTAAATGTAAAACACTGACTTGAAATTATATAATTATTGGCATTTTTTTAATTCATTGAACTTTTTTAAGATTTTGTTGAAACTCTACTGGTAAAAAAAACAAAATATTATAAAAAAAAAATATTATAGTTCTTGATGAAAATAATGTATGCGCGTTACATCGCATCCCATCAAGAATTTCTAATGTAATTCTTGGTGTAAAGCTTATACGTGATAATAACTGTAAACAATAGAATAATAAAATAATAATAATATAATAATAATAATCTTTATTGATAAACATATTACAATCACAAATATTTACAATGGTCAACAGCCCCTAAACTAGGATATTATACCTGTATTTTAGGGCTAGTTTTCCTTCCCTATTCTTAGTTCCTATAAAATAAAATAATTTGTTTATCGATATATAGTTAAATATGATTATGTTTACAAAAATTTCTTAAAACTAACTAACGAAAAATTAAAAAAAAAGTATTTTAAAAAAGTATAATAAAAATATTAAAAAGGAATGTAATGTTTGCACTGTAACTAAACTGCGTGTGTGTGTTTGTGTGTGTGTGTGTGTGTGTGTGGGAGTGGGTGTGGTTAGGTGGGCGTGTGGGTGGGTGTGCGTGTGTGCGAGAGTATTTATGTATTAGCTGGTTTTGTTTATACATCCAAGGAAAAAAGGTTCTCCGTACCTTCATAATCGAATTCTTTTAGCCATTCTGTAATTTTATTTTTCACTTCAAAGTTATTTAGTGATCTTATGTTATGTTTACTATTAAGTTTGTTGTATAGCCTAGGTGCCAAAAAGTCAAAATGTCTTCTAAAAACTGCACTATTTGGTCTCGGAACAGGACATCGTTCAATTCTCTTATTGCTAAGTTTTAATTTAGGCACAGTGACACGATGATATCTCCTTAAACTTTGCAGAATAAATGTTTTACGAACAGATAGCACTTTCGCCCTGTCATATACGGACACTGTTGAGTGGCGAAATGGTAGACGAAATATTACTTTTAAGACAGCTCTTTGTGCGCGTTCAACCTTAATTAAATAACTTTTAGCGGCACCTCCCCAAGAACAAATGCAGTAATTAAAGACACACTCTCCCAATGCTTTATATGTTTTAATAAGTAGTTTGTAATCGGTCACTGTCCGTAAACTTTTAAATATATAAATTAGTTTTCTTAGTTTATTAGCCACTGCATCAGTATGGGCCTCCCAAGTTAATTTGTTGTCAATGATTACACCAAGATATCTGATCTGATCTGTTTTAGCTAAATTACTACAATGACATGGTGTAAAGTTAATAGTGCGATTGCAAGGATATCTGTGGATAGTAATTTTAAAGTTTCTAGTTGGAAGAGAAGCATTAGTCTTACCGAAACATAGGTATTTGGTCTTTGAAACATTAAGAGATAGTAAATTATCTTCAAGCCAACTTGTCACTAACCTAAGACCATTTTCTGCGAGTTGTGCTACTTTATCCCAAGTGTCTCCATGAAAAATCAATACAGTATCGTCAGCAAACATGGTTAAATCCGCATTTTTGATATTGATTTTACACAATTCGTTAACATAAATAAGGAAGAGCGAAGGACCTAAGGTACTTCCCTGTGGCACACCGTAAGAGCAAGAGGAACTGCTGCTTGTGTAATTGTCGATTCTGACACGTTGGCGTCTATTCGAAAGATAGTCTCTAAACCAGTTGTAGACAACACCTCTTATACCCAAGTTTTCCAAACGGTTGAGCAGTATGGGAATCGAAACTGTATCAAAGGCTTTTTGAAGGTCCAAGAAAACCCCAACACATTTTTTGCCACAGTCGAGGTATCTAGATATAAGAGATGTTAATCTTAATACAGCATCTTCTGTTGATCTACCCGAACGGAAGCCAAATTGATTAATATCAATGAAATTGTTTCTTTCAAGGTACCGTATCAGTCGTTTATTCACTACCTTTTCCAATATTTTTGACAGAGTACTAAGAAGTGAAATCGGTCTATAATTAGAAGGGAGCTGCTTGTCACCAGATTTGTATATAGGACAAATCGTAGCTTCTTTAAAAATAGCAGGAAAAACACCTTGCTCTAAACTTAAGTTGCAGATAAACGCTATTGGCTCAGAGAGGATATTTATGTACTTCTTTAGGAAATATGAAGAAATAGAATCAAATCCAGGAGTGCTATTTGTTTTTAGGCCTATAATAATGCGCTTAACTTCTTCAGTATCTGTGGGCTCGAGGGACATAGACATAAGAGGTGCATTCGGTAATCTAGCCTTTATTGCCAATTCATTTTCACTCGTGTTTAGTTTTTGAAGTGTAATGTTAGCTAGGTTTCGCCCCACTGATGTGAAATACGAATTAACTTTGTCAAGAGATTTAGAGGGGGAAATATCAGCATCAAGTAATTCCTTAGGAGATTCCTTATTCGTATGTATGTTGCATACGTCTTTTATTATTTTCCATGTTTCTTTATTATTTTTAGCATTAATATGTAGTTTTTCTTCGTAATACTGCCTTTTAGAAAATTTAATTAATTTATTACACATATTACGATACTTTATATAGTTTGCGAGAAGTTCTTCATTATTCGGATGTAATTTTACTTTTAGGTGCATCTTGTTCCTTTTACGTATGGAAATAATAATGCCATGTGTAATCCATGGTTTAAGTGGTCTAAATTTTTTAGGTAACTCATTGATGACCGTGTTATTATTAACCACCGTAAGTAATTTTGTTAAAAACTGTTCTGCAGCAATATTTGCATCAGTTATATTAAATAGGTAATGCCACGTTTCTGCTGACAAGTAATTATTAATAGTATCATAGTTGGTATATTTTAATGTTAATCGATTATTATTACGAATAATTTTCTTAGATTTTATGCATAACAATATTGGGGCATGATCTGTTAACGGATCAAACACAAAAGTACGCCAAGTGTTAACACTTTTAATCATAAAGTGATCGATACAAGTATTTAGTCTAGTCGGAATATTAATGCCCTGCTTGAGACCATACATTGCAATTAGGTTAAGGTAATTTTGCACGTGCTTAGAACTATTCGATAGTATATTTAAATTTATGTCACCTGTCAAAATAATGTGAGGAGTATTATTATTCTTAAGAATATTTTCTAAAGAATGTAGATAACAATTTGGATTACAAAAACTAGGGGGTCTATAAGAACAGATGATTGAATATTCCGAATTTATATTTATAATCAAGCAATTTCCTTCTTGAAAGAGTGGTTCAGATACAGTTACTGATGAATTTAAAGAAGCATGAATGTAAACCACTACGCCATCATTTTTATTTAAATAATTAACGGTTTGATACATCTTGTAATCGGTAATTTGAGGTGGTGTGAAATTATTATTGGTCCAACATTCAGTTAAAACCAAGATATCAATATGAATACCAAGACTTACTACAAACGTTAGAAATAAATCAAAATTTCTATTTATACTGCGAATGTTGACGGACAGTACCATCAACAATCCATCTGCACTACCAAATAATTCTGAACACTTTGTTGGATCATTTAAATATGTGCAATTAATACTATGGTACTCATCTATATCCGTTGTTATAATATTGTTAATTTTATCTATATTAAGATTAATATTTGTAAAACCAGTGCATATACATAACTCATTATGTTAAGCTTGAATATATTTTTGATAGCAACGAGTTTTATTAACCACTTGTTATAGTGTATATAAAAATTATGATAAATTTGTGAATTGTGGATTTCATGAAAGTGATATATGTTGTTAATAATGTGTTTAAGACGTATGTTGTATGAACATATATGTGATTTCATTTGTTGGAGAAGAATGTAAGAGTATAATAAAAATATGTGTTTTGTGTATTGTAGTATGTATTTGTATATATAACTAAGTGCGCAACATTTAAATGAGAATATAGTAAGAAAAAGCTTAATAATTTCATTAAAAACTAAAGATATCAGGATATTGAATAAACTTAACAAAAATATAAAATCTTTAAGGATGCAATATGTTAAGTGCAATATTAGTCATTTTTCTTTAATTTTTTCCAAATCAGCTTCACTTTCAATGCGAATTAGGGATGCTCCTTCTTTTTTTCGGAGGTAGACTTTGCCATGTGAAGTCCAACAAAATATATAATTGTTTACTTTTGCGAATTTTCTTGAAATTAAAAACAGATATCTCGTTCTGCTAGGGAGAGACTCTGATATATAAATTAGATGGGACGGGCCGTCAATTTGTATGTTTTTAGTGTTAAATTTATCATTTTTATGGCTGTTATTATATTTCTTAAAAGCATCAATAAAACGGTCGCGTGTTAATACACTAATGAAATCTACTATTATCGGTTTATTCGCCGATTTTGTGTTAATGCGATACACGTCTTTAATATCAGATCGGTTAATGTCTAGTTTAAGCTGTTGGCCTGATGTAATAACTATATCAGAGAGGTTTTCTTTTGTCTCATACGTTTTTTTAGGAACATTTCTTATTTCTAAACTAGTAGAACAGTGGTTCCGCTCAAGTTTTTCAACTTTTTTTTCAAGTAATTGAATATATTGCATATTAGCCTTTTTCTCCGACTCCAATTTATCGAGTTTATTAATCAAACCATCGTATTTTTCTGATAAGAAATCGATTGACTTTTGCACTGCAGAGTTTTGTTCCTTTATAACATTTAAAAATGTAGTAATTTTATCCTCTTGATCTTTTTGGAAACTCGTAAACATATCCTTAATTTCTTTTTTGAATAAATTTAATTCATCAGTGTAATCGTTACTTCGCTTTCTTTTACTACGCACCGATACAGTCGATGACGAATCGGAGTCTTGTGTAATAGGAAAATATGGCTCAGAATCATTATCGTCTTTTTTACGAGCAGCCGATTGTCGCTGTGACGGTGAGCGTTGCATATTTAAAACTTATAAAATTATGTTGTTTAGGTACCGCAATATCATAAATGTTAAAACTATCACAGACGTGAATGATACAGAGGTCTAAAAATTTGGACGCTGATCGGTATCAGAGAACTGTGTCGCTTTCCGTCCAGTATAAACTGAACCCTCGATGCAAACAAGGTCACGTAAGTTGGACGTCACTGGGTATTTAGCGTAAATAATAAATAATGTCCACTGTATTTTGATCACTCAATAGATAAACTTAAGCAACTCACGTATTAATGAGGGTAATCTGATTTAATTGTTACACATTGCACAATAGGTCTTCTTGTTTTTATGCACTCCTACATATTTAGTTTTATTTACTGGTTAGAATTTCAATTATTGGAAGGATCGATTTATAAACAAACACGTCTGTCCCCTACAAAGGTCCGGAAGGGAAGTGAAAAGTTCGTGCTACAACTATACCTAATAAATATAGCTGTAGCATGGCTCTACCATGTAAAAAAAAATTGACGTTGAAAATTTAAGTATATTTAGAAGCAACTTTGCAATTATTTTCTATTGAGTTAATTTTTGTGGAATCGTGTTTTGCAAACCGCCACCTGAAATACGTACAATTTTTTTTCGATAATGACGTGAAATTACAAAACCATCCCCATGCATTTCAATGTGGCTCTATTCAGCCTCTTAATATGAACATACCTCGGATTTCAGAGATAATGGAAGATATAATAATATTATATTATTACTGTTCCGTGTGAGGCAACCTTTATACTTATATACATATTCTCATCATATTTTTATGGTTGGTTAGAAAAATTATATCTAAATGCAAACTTTCACAGGGTAAATTTTTTTTTACTATTTTTACCCAGCAAGTAGTAAAGCAACTACAATCCCATCGGTAAGTGGTTATGTAGTCTAAGATGGTGAATTGTACTGACTTAACAAAAACCTATTCACTCTTGCCTAATAGTACTAGGTAAGTATTATTTGCGACCTATTTGTGTGTGTGTGTGTGTGTGTGTGTGTGTGTGCGCGTGTATGTGTGAAGAAAAGCGTATGAGAATACGTGAAGAGGAATAAAGGATGAGTACTAATTCGCTTACCTGTACGAGGTTGCCACTCGAGGACCTTTCTTCCTATTTTTTATATGTTTTCCAAGTTATATAGCTAGCCCATTGCCATTTCACTGTAATATTCCGTTGAGCTATGTCAATTACTCTGGTTCTAATGCAAATACCTTCATTTCTAACTTTATCACGTAGAGAAAGCCCTCTCCAATTTAAAATTTTTACATATTTTAGATGATAGTTTGTCTAACAAAAAAAAAACCATAAACCCAAGAATGTCTTTATATAGTTATTTATACTTAGGTAAGCACCATTCTTTTATTTATTTAAATTGTTTGATTTAATTTGATAACAGTGTACTAAATGTAATTATCTGTTTCTTTATTTCTCTCCCCAATAATATTTTATAAAGTCATACTTATAAAAACAGCGTTTTATTGTAATACATAATTATAAAATTCATTATCAACTAATTAATAAAAATATGCAACAATAAAATTACATAGGTATTAAAAACTATCGCAATCTAAGTAACGAGAGCATGTTCGTCGTTCCACATCTAAATTATATAAAAATGCATTTTTCAATTTCACTAATCAACGTCGCCGCAAAAATTTCTTCTTCTTTGGGCACTTTAAAAATTCATTTATTTAGAAAATAATATTTACAGTTACCAGTGTACAGATATTAACTAAATTAAGTATTTCTAGTCATAAAAATATTTATAATTGAGTATAAACTTTTAAAAAACTAATATATATTTGAACGAAGTCGCTCCAACACCGACGTGCGGTCCACCCTCGACGATGTCCGAAAACGGACTATGACAGAGCTTACATGGCGACGGAGCATGCGCGCTCGCGTAAATATATTCAATTTCAGGGAAAAATGATATATTCTCTTATAAAACGGATAATAAAAATAAAACTCTCAATTAAAAATATTAATATTTTTAAGACCTTTTTTTTAGTGTAAGAACTATTTAAAAAGCTTGTGCCGTTTTGGAGAAATTTTGCAAAATATGACAAAGATAGGTACTCTTTGGGGATTTTTTGTCTAATAAGGGGTTGACAAAAATACAATTTTGTTAAATTAAAAATATTTACCAAATCTTCTTCTGTTACCCTGTATTTTTTCTTTGTGGATTAAATGAACAGTTATTGAGATTTTTTTACTTAAATATCCTAGATTTAGGCATTTCAACCACTGTTAAGGCCTTAAGAATGTTAAGTGATTTAACGTGTTTGCTTTACAACATTAATAAATTGCTGGTAAAAAACATTTTTAAAAGCAAGCTTTTATTTAAATACTCTAAAAAGAATTTTCGTATTCTTCTCAGCAAACCCTTTCATTTGATACTGATATCATGGGAATACATAGAAATAACTAGTCCGCCATCTTGGGTGCCAGCCCCTTCCACTTGACCGCATCCAGCGCAGGGCGGTTCGAATCGTCGACGACCGAGTTCTTTCCGATCGGCTTGACTCACTGGCACTGCGTAGAGATGTTGCATCTCTTTGCGTATTTCATCGCATCTATCACGGGGAGTGCTCTGAGGAGTTGTTCGGACTAATTCCAGCCGCTCAATTTCACCATCGCATATCGTGACATAACTCGCGATACCATCCACACCATCTTGATGATTGGCGGTCCACCACTGTGCGATTTAGAAGAAGTTTTCTTTTTCGCAGAATTTCCTTGTGAAATCCATTACCACCAGCGATTTTTCCGGACCGATACGACTTAGGGACTTTCAAGAAAAGAGTTTACTCCTTTTTAAAAGGCCGGCAACGCATCTGCAATTCCCCTGGTGTTGTAGCTGTTCATGGGCGGTGGTAGTCACTTACCATCAGGTGAACCGCATGCTCGTTTGCCCTCTCTCCTTTAAAAAAAAACAAAACTATAAAATTATGACAAAGCAGTGTTACAATGGCTTAAAAGTCGGGATTTAAATAGAACTAGTTTTACGGCCTCTATGTATAATAACTTATTTTATATTCCCGACGTTTACAGCACCCATGGTCACGGGGGGACTGAGGCACAAAGTAACTATACTGAGGTGTTTAACGTCCTGATCTCATAGTTAACCGTGGTTACATCCAGATTAAAATTATTAATTTTTGTTCCAATCTACGCAGTATGAACTTATAGTATCTTGAAGTCTTGCAGTTGTATGCTTGGGTTGATGATAACACCCAGTCACCTTCTGTATTGAAATTACATAGGATGTTTTTTGATTGAATCGCCCTTGGAAGGAATCGGTGTTCTTTTGCGAGGATTTGTGGTCTATCAAGTCTAATGTAGTGACGAGGGCGATCCTGTACGTGTTCACAGACTGCAGATCTCTCCGAGTGTGGATTCTTCACATCAGCTGTGTTCTTTAGCGCGGGTTTTCATTGATCTTTTAGTTTGTCCTATACAAAACAGGTTTTATTTAAAGGTCTAGTGCTCACGTAAATGTAATAAATCATTATAAATCGGGATGTCAATTTTCTCTTACCTTAGCCTTATTTCAGACTCTTTAGATGCAAACTTTCATATCGAATGCTACTCGTGCATGAAAACAATAAATCAAACTGTAACAAAAAGGTGAGATGGTATTGATCACATAAAGAAGACACTTAGAGCGTAATGTTGTTTGAGCACGACACTTTAGATTTAGATTAAGCTGTTAGGTAGGTATATTGCAGCCGGGTTAGCGGGGCGTAAAGTTAATAATTTCACGGGTAACGCGTAGAGCTGTGGTTACCGACCACATGAACGTGATTGTCTTTTGCTCATTATGTATATAGGAATACACCAGTTGACTGAGTGTTATACATCTATACAAATAACTATACAAATAACTAATACAAATAACTGCGTGTTGCCAGTATTGACTTACGGATCTGAGACGTGGTCCTTCACTGCTGGCCGATGAGGAAGCTCAAGGTCGCTCAGCGAGCTATGGAGAGGGCTATGCTCGGGGTTTCTCTGCGTGATAAACTTAGAAATGAGGATATCCGAAGTAGAACCAGAGTAACCGACATAACCCAACGGATTAGTAAGCTGAAGTGGCAGTGGGCCGGCTATATAGCTCGAAGAACCGACAACCGATGGGGAAGAAAGGTTCTCGAGTGACAGCCTCGTAGGCGAAGTGTAGGGCGACCCCCTACTAGATCTCCCACGCACATCGCGGCAGAACTCCCGATACCATCCACACCATCTGGATGATTGGCGGTCCACCACTGTGCGATTTAGAAGATGTTTTCATCCTCGCACGACTTCCTTGTGGAATCGATTACCATCAGCGATTTTTCCGGACCGACACGACTTAGGGATCTTCAAGAAAAGAACCTACTCCTTTTTAAAAGGCCGGCAACGTATCTGCAATTCCCCTGGTTCCCCTGGTGTTGCAGTTGTTCATGGGCGGCGGTAGTCACTTACCATCAGGTGAGCCGCATGACCGTTTACCCCCTCTCCTATAAAAAAAATAGATGGAGTGACGACCTGGTAAGACATGCAGGAAGTCGATGGATGCAGGTGGCTCAGGACCGTGTTTTGTGGCATTCCTTGGGAGGCCTGTGTTCAGCAGTGGACTTATGAAAGGCTGTAATGATGATGATGATGATGACGAAATAAATAAAAGTACATTGCAAAATGAGTAACTATACTAAATTTCAAGTCATATTTCAAGTGTATATAGTTTTCAAGATCTCGTGTTGAGTCGGTCAGTCAGTGGTATTTTGCTTATACACATATGTATATAGATTAATTATTTTTCTGCTTTGTGTGTTTCTCAAATAAAGTCAAATAAATACCTATCTTTCTTACTTCCTTTTGGATACCATGAGGTTTTTATGGCCCTTCCTATAGTACAACATTCACGTGATGAAATTGGATGATTGATTCTCTTACGTAATTTTATAATATTCATCAGGGTTACCGCGATAGGACCGTTAATCTCCCTTTTGTTGTAATTTATGTATATCTATACATATAAACTGTCCATGCGGTCGGAGCTAAGTTCTGCAAGACCCGCCGCAGAAGAACACATAAACTCTCCGATCACACTCTTAATCTCATGGCTGTTAGACGGGAGATGAAGCTACATTCTTCAACAGATTTGACAGCATACAGGCAACTGAACAGACAGATCTCCAAATGCATGCGGCGGGACTTACGCAACTTCGAGACAGCTTGTATTGAAGAAGCGATCGAGCGGAACCAAGGCTCCAAAGTCTTTGCCAGAGATCTGTCTACCAGAAAGAGCCAACTGTCAAAGCTGAACACCGAATGTGGCAGCATCGTTTCCGGGGCACCTGAGATTTTGAGTGAGATTGAGAGGTTCTATGGACAGCTGTACACGTCATCGTTGGAGCCACACGCAAGTGTAAGTAATGATCCAAGAGCGAGTCTTATCCGACACTATTCCGAAGATATCCCGGACGTCAGTCTGAGCGAGATTAGAATGGCTCTCCAGCATCTTAAAAACGGCAAGGCCCCAGGCGAGGATGGAATTACAGCGGAGCTTCTGAAAGCGGGTGGAATACCGGTACTGGAAGTCCTTCAGAGGCTCTTTAATTTCGTTCTCCGTGGTGGCATTACACCGGAGGCGTGGAGCAGAAATGCGGTGGTCTTGTTCTTCAAGAAAGGTGACAATGCTCTCTTGAAGAACTACAGGCCGATTTCCCTTCTGAGCCGTGTCTACGTGCTGTTTTCGAGAGTCATTACGAATAGTCTCGCACGCAGACTTGACGACTTCCAGCCTTCCGAACAAGCCGGTTTCCGAAAGGGCTTTAGTACCATAGACCACATACATACCCTTCGTCAAGTTGTATAGAAGTCCGAGGAGTACAATTTGCCACTATGCCTGGCGTATGTGGACTATGAGAAAGCCTTTGATTCCGTCGAAATTTGGGCGGTGCTGCAGTCCCTTCAGCGGTGCCAAGTTGACTGTCGGTATATCGAAGTGCTGAAGTGCTTGTACAGTAGAGCTACGATGGCTATCCAAGTACAGAACCAGAGTACGAAACCTATCCAATTGCAGAGAGGTGTCAGACAGGGTGACGTTATATCCCCGAAACTCTTCACCGCTGCATTAGAGGACGTTTTCAAGCTTCTAGACTGGAAAGGATACGGTATTAACATCAATGGCGAGTACATCACTCACCTTCGATTTGCCGATGATATAGTCCTTATGGCAGAATCGCTGGAGGACCTAAGCACTATGCTCAATAACCTTAATAGAGTCTCCCAACGGATAGGTCTTAAGATGAACATGGACAAAACAAAGATTATGTTTAATGTCCATGTCACACCTATGTCGGTAGTTGTTGGGAGCACTAAGCTCGAAGTTGTTGACGAGTATGTTTACCTGGGACAAATAGTCCGACTAGGAAAGTCCAACTTCGACCGAGAGATCAATCGATGAATTCAACTCGGCTGGGCAGCGTTCGGGAAGCTACGACACATTTTCTCGTCATACATACCTCAAAACCTTAAAACGAAATTGTACAACCAGTGCGTGTTGCCAGTGATGACTAACGGAACTAAGACGTGGTCTTTCACTACTGGCCCTATGAGGAAGCTCAAGGTCGCTCAGCGAGCTATGGAGAGGGCTATGCTCGGAGTTTCTCTGCGTGATAAACTTAGAAATGAGGATATCCGCAGTAGAACCAGAGTAACCGACATAGCCCAACGGATTAGTAAGCAGAAGTGGCAGTGGGTCGGCCATATAGCTCGAAGAACCGACAACCGATGGGGAAGAAAGGTTCTTGAGTGGCAGCCTCGTACCGGTAGGCGAAGTGTAGGACGACCCCCCACGAAATGGAGTGACAACGTGGTAAGACATGCAGGAAGTCGATGGATGCAGGTGGCTCAGGACCGTGCTTTGTGGTATTCCTTGGGGAGGCCTATGTTCAGCAGTGGACTTGTGAATGGCTGTAATGATGATGATGATGATACATATAAATGAAATTGAAGTGTCGGTAATATTGAAATAACTGGCTTCCATTAAGCTCCAGGGGTTATTTGCATGCCATAAATAACCACTAAATAAATAATAATTTTATAAATTTTTGTCTGTCTGTCTGTCCGGCCTAATCTTCAAAATGGCTGAATTCTATGTAACGGAACTTCACGACCAGATAGAGAGCAATTCCAGCAGTGATCTAAGCTATATTTTATCCGAAAAACTTGGACTTTTTTTTTTGGAAATTGAAAAATTTATAAGTAAATGGTCATTGATGATTATTTTAGTTTAAAAAAATCTAAATGACACACCTTTAATAGACCCCACCCAGGCGAATCGATGATAGTTGATAAATTACACAAATATGATCACATTTCATTTTCTTCTTTTGTGTGTTTTTTTTAAACTGAATTCACACTTGAACTAACAGTCCATCTAATGATTAGTGGCAACTGCAGTCCATGGACAAGTGTGCTGCCAGCTGCCAAGTTCAAACAAAGAAGACTACAGACTTACCTCTAATGGCGCGTCTCCATCAAAGTTTTCAACATTTGTCAACACGTGTTGCCGACAAATGTTTCTGTAATCACCTAGTTTTAGCAACAAAACGAAACAATGTCGGGAAT